CAGCTTTGATCTTCTTCCAGTAGCAATGCTGGAAATCGTCTAAATGTGGTGGCTATAAATATGCATGTGCACACATTCCTGTAAGGATTATTTACCAAGCTTTTTTTGCAGCTCTAGTTGATAGAACAAAAACACGCCGTTGTGCGTTGCGTCTAATACCAGAGAAGGACAGCGGGGCTGTGAAATTAACACCCATACTTTATTGAATTTATGGCATCCTCTGCATCTGCAAGCTGAGCCTGAGTGCCATGTTAACTGCAGCCCTGGGAGTGTCAGAGTCCATTTTCTTTAGAGGCAGCTCAAAAATAGACAGGAGCTATGGTGAGGAATAAACCTACTTTGGGAAAGTTTTATTTAGGCTCGGAGAGAGAGGTTACATAACCCGTGAAATATCCTTCCTTCTTCACGGGTCGAGAACAGAAAAAGCAACACACGTTTGTCAGGAAGAATGCTCCAAACTTAAGTGTCCCTCCAGCCGAGATATACCCACCAGAACACTCTGGATGGAAATAAAAACTTGTAACGCTCATGTGTTAAATCCATCTAGTGTGCATAGCCGGGAGACCTATCAAGGTTTAAAGCAAACCAGGCACGCTGAAACTGCTGCAGTGCCGCTGCAGGAGTGGCTGTAAGCAAAGCTGCTGTCCTTCTGGAAATAACCACTGTTTGGGAGATTATGCAGCAGAACAGCATTTTTTAAACACTTTCTCTGTGTAAGCCACGAATCCAGTGCGGCGTTTTAACCCAACCACCCCGATTCCGCCTTAAAACTGCCTTCTAAGGGAAATAAGGAAGAGGGCAAAAAATGTGCGCAGCCCATGAGGTGGACCATGTGATCCCCAAAGGTTGTTTACTATAGCGCCTGGTTGTAACAGAAATATATGGGGGTTTCCGTTGAACAGGAAATGATGTCGTCGCCTGGCTATACATGCAGGCTTACTTCAGTGCAGCACGACAGAAGCAAACCTCAGTTCTTTTCTGTTCCTCACTGCCAAACTGAGTCTGCACAGTAAGCCACTGAAACTACCTTCTGTTTAAAAATGGAAGTGAAAACAGTGCTGTTCATTTGCATTTTTTCTGCCGGGATTTTTCCCCCTCCTCTCTGCCCCTCAGCCCTGCGCTATTCACTGAATCGTCTGTCCCCTGACAAGGCGGCCAGATTAAGGGGATATGTTACCATCTTGTTTTTTTTTTTTCTAAATGGATACACATGTGGCACATCTGGGTCCAAGCCTGACTCATTACTCACTTTTTTATGTTCCATTCTCTGCAGCCATGGCAACTGCTGCATGTTTGGCAGGAGGCTGTAGAAGGCAGTGGAAAAAGAGGGAGATAGAGAGAGGGAGGGAGGGAGGGAGAGCTCTCAGTAGTTGGCCTACATCCAGTGTAATCATGCCATGGAGCTGAAATGAGGCCTTTGGCAGCACACCAGGTTTCTGAGAACAAAGATGTGAGCTTCTAATGTTGGCGGTGGGGCCTGCTTGGCATCCTTTGCCATTTCCCAGCAGCCCTTGCCTTGGCCGACAGCCAACTACCCCCCCCCTCCCTCCCCCTGCTTGGACTGCAAAGAGGATCAGAATAAAGAGAGAGACTTGTTTTTCACTCGCCTCTTGCTCTGGCCCAATGACATCACCTCTGCAGCCTCCAGATTCCAGCCGCCCAGCACATTTTTCACTCTCGCCGTCGAACCTCCATTTTATTTGAATTCCACCATTTCATACCTTTGCAAACCTGACACTGGGAAACGTCTCATTTCGTTTTGAAATGCGATTTTTTTCCTGCACGCTGCACGTGAGTCGGCTGCTACCAGAAGTGAATAGGAAATCGGTTCAAATAAATGTCTAAAGTTAACTGATCAACAGTAAAAACCGGGCAGAGGACTGCTTTGTATGTTTCAGAACTCCACTCATTTAAATCGGTGCTCCAGTCCTCGCAGTGCAAAAGTGCAGCTAAAAATAGCGCGCTTAACAGGATATATCTATGGTAGTTGGGGTTCTGTGATAATCTCCATGGTTACCTCTCTCATACAGGAACAGAGTAATGCATGCGCATTAGTCCTTACATTTACTCTCCATATATTTCCCAGCCTTTGCCACAGCATGTGGCTATAAATCTCATAGATGAGTTACTACAATCACTGCGTAACCCCAGCAATATGTCCTCACTCTTTTGCTTTGTGTCAGTGCGAAATGTTGCAGTTTAGCCCGATGCTCGCCTCAGCACTTGCTCCAAAAAAGGTTATATAACATAGATGTTGGTGGGGAGAGCCGGAGCAGACACAGAAAACATCCAGAGCCGTGCGGTTCTGAAGCTGGAAACTTCACACAGAATTCCTAATGAATCCCTTCCATGAATAAAATATGTCGGATATAAAATGTATCAGGCTCAGAAAGTGATAAAACAAAACTGACGTCATCTCATCAGGCGGGCGTTGCTGTCACATGCTGGGTATTCCCCTGGCCATCACCTTCCTCACAGGCTTTTTCTTGAGTCTCAGTCTACACTAAAAAGGAAATGCAGAGTGGACTTTTACACCTAAATCCATCTGGTTTAGTGGCTGGTCTTAAATTAGATGGCCACTGGCCGGGTCATGCTGCAATGATTTCACTGTACACATGGTTTACACTGCCAATCAAAACCATCTGTGCTTATCTGGCTTCCTCCGTTCAGCTCAAGTCTGCCTTTGCTCAGCAGCCACGGCAGCATTTGTTTCCTCTCCATCAAATGAATCTTCCTATTATAGAATCAGGTCATTTAAGATTTAAATGAATCACAGCATGCCTCCGTCTTGCATAATAGCTATTTGGCCCGGCAGCTATTCGCTTGCACAAACATCGGCCGAGTGGAAAGCAAAGGATCAAAGCATTAGGCAACAGTTTCCCACCAATCTCATGGAAAGGGTTTGTTTACTTAGTCCCTCACAACAGTCATTTCCCAACTGTGCCGTAAAGCCCAACAACACATCCTAGTGTTGTTCGCCCAACACGGGATGAGATTTGAGAGAGAGAGAGCAGCGGTGTGAAAGTGTGTGCTAAACACACAGGACTGTAAAACTGAAGCAACACTGACGGCAAGGGGGATGGAAAAAGACTCTTTTTTTATGTCCGTGTACAGTCAAAAAGATGCTCGGTGGCAGCCGATCAGCTGCACAAGTGGCTTATTTTGTCCATGGAAACTCTTTGAAGGAGAGCCTCATGCCACTGTGCATGATCACGGGCCGCAGGCAGCCAGCCAAGTGGCCTCATGTTCTGTATATGGGTGAGGCGGATGAGGGTACGTGACTAAACATCTTGCTTCCTCTTTCCAGCGTCACATGGACTTGCACAAACATATCCTGCTTTGTGTCTGCAGGTTTCAGACGCATTGCCTCACCCAAAGGCAGAGGCTAAGCTGCAACGAGCTGGAATGAGCCCAGACGAGAGGGAGGAATCTGAAATGCCGGGGCACTCCTCCAGTTCAAACCTACACTTTTACTTCAGGGGATTTTGGCTGGGGTTTTGCAGTATGGCTTGTTTCGTGTAACTTCTTTTTTTTTTTTTCTTCCCTTAGATGTAGTAGCCTACACACAAAAGAAACTATTATCAATCACCCTAATGCACCTTATAGCCTCCTGCCTTTGAAGCTGTTTGACTACTTAAAAGATACCATAAATAAGGAGCTGGGTTGCTCATTCACATAATGCCGTTTAATTTAGTGGTGACAAACTCGGACAACTGAATGTCAACATGTGGGCAAGGAGTTAAGAGAGTATTCATGCTCTAACCCCAATCCATTCAAGTTTACAACACAGGCTGGAAATCCCCACCTCATGACAGAGCTTCCTGGTTACTGACTAATGGAGGCGCTTTTTCTCTTTTCATGTCAACACGCCAGGAAAATATGATTTAAAGGCCAAAGTCAGTAGGCCACTTTATGGATTCACACACACACACACACACACACACAAACTGAAATGGAAAAACTGCTTCCTGTAATATCCATCTACTAATCCTAACATATGACAGATGTTTTGTTTTGGGGTTTTTTTTTTTGCTCGCGTGCAGCCACAAAACAGAAAACACCGTCATGTTGTTGGCATATTTGACCGTTGGTTCACGGTGGGCTGCTGGTTTTTCTCGGAGTGGACCCACCTCATTCATTGCACAGCGGCGGTAGTAGCAGCTCGCTGCGTCGAGGCGCCGTGCATTGACAAAAACAAGCCGCAGCGAGCTGTTTTTCCTCCCTCTCTCCCCCTCTCTCTCAGGCTGAACCGGATAACGCTCTGAATTTAGGACAAAGCAGCGGCAGCCAGCCGGAGGAGATCGAAAGTCGCTTTCCCCTGGTGGTGTACAGCTAACCTACAGCCATAAAAAAAAAACAACAACAACAACACAATCCCCTTCACGATGCGCGCGGACCCCGGAGTGATATATATTTATGTATAGATATATTTTTGGTTGGGTTATTCCCTTCAGTCGGAGGCGGTGAGGTTGTTCTGGGTGCAGTCTTTTTTTTCTTCTTCTTTTTTTTTTGGCAGCGACTCAAGTGATTAAATACTTTTTTTTTTTTTTATGGGGGGGGGGGCGGCGGGTGGGGAAAGGGTGGGGGGGGGGGGGGGGGGTGGGTGTGTTTGGGGGGGGGGGGGGGGGGTATGTCGAAGAAATCAAGTCAATAGAAACTGAAGTGGAAGCAGGCGTTTAGAGCTCCGTGGTGACGTCACTGCTCCACATTGAGCCAGTAGTAGAGAGTCGGTGGAGATAGATAGAGGAGAGCCGTAGTAAAGTACACACCGACATGAACTTCTCCCTCTAAAACTTCAACCTTGTTGCTCGGAAAAAGTCGGGAGAGGACCGGGCTACGGGCTTTTCTTCCCCCCCTTTTTCGTCCAACGGAACTAGCTCTTTATTCGCTTTCGCCGGGAGCCGAGAGGAGAAGCGGGAGAAAAAGACACATTTTGGGGGTTGTTTTTTTTTGTTAATATTTTTTTTTTTTTTGGAGGGGGGTCGACGACGACCAGCGCCATGTCGTCCGCGGCGGTCGCTGCTTCTTCCAGGAGGCAGTCGTGTTATTTGTGCGACCTGCCTCGCATGCCTTGGGCCATGATCTGGGATTTTACCGAGCCCGTGTGCAGGGGATGTGTCAACTACGAGGGAGCGGACCGCATCGAGTTTGTCATCGAGACCGCCCGGCAGCTCAAGCGGGCTCACGGCTTCCAGGAGGGCCGGTCTCCCGGGCCCGGGAAGTCCCAGCTCTCCGGGAAGGACCTCCAGGCGATGAACCACGCAGCGGCGGCCGCGGCCGCGGCGGCGGCGGGAGACCCGGGCTCCCGGCCGCCGCAGCCCCTGGACCGCTACCCGCTGTCCTCCGACCGGCCGCCCAGGCTGGGCCCCGAGTACCAGTCCGGCCGCCAGGCCAACGGCATCCCGGTGCCTAACGGATTTCCTAAGCCCGACGAGCCGCCGGAGCTCAACCGCCAGAGCCCCAACCCGCGCAGGAATAGCGCCGTGCCCCCGAACCTCGTGCCTTTGGTGAACGGCAGCATGCCCCCGGTGCACGCGCTCAACGGCCGGACGGCCCAGATGGGGCACCCCTCCGCCATGGCGGCCGCCGGCCCCGCGGAGCTGGCCAAGAGAGCCGCGCCGGGGGCCGGCGGCGAGCACGACCGGGAGGCGAAGGACAAGCACAGAGCGGACAGCCTCACCCCGGACATCACGGAGAGCCTGAAGAACCGGGCCGAGCAGGAGTGGGGCGGCAAGGGCAAGACCGTGAGGGACCTGATGGCTCTGCACACCTTCGACAGGTTCAAGAAGGACCACGGGACCATGCAACAAAGGGTTATGAGCTACGACACCAGCGCCTCGGGATCCAAATCAGGTAAGGGGGGAGAAAACACCTTTTGCCTTTCTGTTTTATTTCACCTTTCCTCTTTTGCTAATCCCACCCGGGTTCAGAGGAAATGACTCCCAGGGGCACATATTAGTGATTTCATTGGGATTGCAGTTTTTTTTTTACGGTTCTGTGTGTTGCGTGCCGTGTGCCATTGTTTTGTTGCCTGTGGTGCAGCAGGGAACAGGAAAAATGCACATCCCCCCCCCCCCCCTCCCCCCCCCCCCCTTCCAGTGAAATTGTTGATCCTTGTAAGAGCTGTGCAACTCAACTGTGTTCTCTTTAACCCTTTCCCACCTCCAGACAGAGGCAAGCATCCCCGCATGAAGAGAAAAGCATCGCCTGAACCCGACGGCGAAGTCACGGCCGCCAAGCTGAACGGGGAGGGACAGCAGTGGTTACCGCCGCCCGCCGAAGGACTGAAAATGCCTCCGGTTCCCCCGCCAAACTTTGCCTCCCCACCCTCCACGATATCCCCCCACCCCCGCACCACCCCGCCCGAGGCGGCCCAGAACGGCCAGTCCCCCATGGCGGCGCTCATCATAGCAGCAGACAATGCAGGTGGGAACAGCTCCCCCAAGGACGGCAACCAGGTCCACTCCACCACCCGCAGGAACAGCAGCAGCCCCCTGTCCCCGTCCTCCATGAACCAGAGGAGGCTGGCACAGAGGGAGCCGTCCGGGGCAGGCACCCCCCACGTGCCCGGCATGGACCAAGTGCACCCCCAAAGCATTCCGGACTCCTCGGTACCGGGCAGCATACCCCTGTGCTGCACGCTGTGCCACGAGCGCTTGGAGGACACACACTTTGTTCAGTGCCCGTCTGTGCCCTCTCACAAATTCTGCTTCCCCTGCTCGAGGGAAAGCATAAAGCAGCAAGGTGCCACGGGTGAAGTGTACTGTCCGAGTGGAGAGAAATGTCCCCTGGTTGGCTCAAACGTACCATGGGCTTTCATGCAAGGGGAAATCGCCACCATCCTTGCGGGAGATGTCAAAGTAAAAAAGGAGAGGGACCCTTGATTTTGTCTGAACACTTCTTTGGGGAGGGGAGGCAAAAATATGAGTATAAATATATAAATATCACATACATACCATTCAAACAAACTAACGGACTTGTACATATTGGACCCAAGGGAAGAGTATACTTCGTAAACATGGTTGTATAATTTTTGATTTTTGAATACATTGTGTTTCTATATTTTTGAAGATAAAGGTATGTACTCATCATAATGAACTACGTTCCTCTTTGTTGATGTTTAACAAAATTCTTGATGTACTTCTAGGTCTGGTGGCAGTTCCTGTTTAACGTAGAATGTGACTAATGCTACTCTACGAGCACTTGGCAAAACTAAAATGCTTTTAGCTGTACTTGTATGCACTTGTTTAAAAATTGCCAAATACAATTTCTGATCTTGTATGAACTTATTGTCTGAGCTTGCTTCATTCTGGTGACTCCTGTTATACGGGGCTGTGGACCGATGACGAGATAGGGCTCTGCGCTCTGACACGCAGGCTTGTTGTGACGGCTCAGGAGGCTTGATTTACGCTGCACAACATAAGTGGGCTACTGTTTGCGGCTGCAGGACGGCGGCTTCTCTGCACACATGCCTGCCGCCGCTCACGGGAAAAGCGTTGCTAGAGAAAAAGGCAAAGCGCACTGTCGACACTTTGCTCCGTGTTTATGCATCCTAGTCTTTGGTTGCAGAGCACAGAAACGGCTGCCAAGTCATGTTCAGCCAGCTGGAATATGTTGAGTCAGAATCCAGAGAGTGCTCGAATGTCAATATATGGTAGCAGAAGTACACCGACCACAAATTTGGACTTTTGCAAATCAACTATTTTGAGCAAGAACCTTTTGCTTTTACACTGGCGCCTTATATTTTCCACGCTTGTGTGCAAGTTGTGTTGGGCTTCATAAGGGTGCTCACTTTGGACGAACCTAAATTCTTATTATTGTGGTTCACTCAGCAGTGGATGAATTGCAAATAATGAATACAATCTAGTTGAGGTGCATTAGCACTGCAGCAACCCCCCCCCCCCCCCATTTGATTTGTGTGGTACATTGTGCAACTTTGACATCTACTATCTCTGACACAATACATTCTGCCAAACACTAGGGACAGATTTCTGCCTCGGTTTGTAATGTGTGCCTTTTCAGAGCAAACAATACCACTGTTGCTGCCTTACATGCCAACCACGCTCTGAATCTCTTCAAATGCAAATGTAACTGTTGCAGATTCATGGCAGCGTGGTCATAAAAGCGGCAGCACTGCCTCGGCAGTGGCCAGTGAGCGGCCAGACTAATCTATACACGCAGCCAGGGGCTTACGGGGGTCGTTAAGAGACGGTCTCTGCAAAAGGGAGGCGATCACAGGGCTGGTTTTTCCTTCTTAGGACTAAAAAGTCGCTGGCGTGTAGCTGACGCTGCACCAAGCGGACTCTGACATGGAGGATGATATGTAGCAGAGGGGAGGACTTTGAGAAGCAGGCAGTTGCGTAATTATTTGAGACATAATCTGCGTCTTGCTTATACTGAAGTCAATCAGCCCCTGGTTTACAGGAAATAACGTGCATCCAAAAAACAGATTGTCTCTGTCCTATTTGTTCATTTAAACCCAGGAACTGCAAACACTGTGCTTAATTATTTTTTTTGCCCTCTTGCTGCACACAAATCAGTTTATTAACTGTGGATTATTACCCCCAAAACCTCAAGGGCTTTTTTTAAAAACTTAAAAAAAAAAAAAAAGGTATTTGAAATCAACTGTCTAATCCACTTTTCGTCCTGATGAATTGTTTGATGAATGGTTTTAAAATAAAAACACAATTTTGCCAGCTCAGGAGGGCAGGGATAGCTATTGTTGCCTTTGCTGGAAATAAAGGGAAAAGGGTGCGATGGACAGAAATAACTCATACATTTATGCTTCGGCAGCTTTCACAGAGGAGGTTTTGAAGTCGACCATCCTACGAGGTGGAGCATCAGTTATTCCTGATTTTACATTTTGAAGGCAGATGTTTGTTTATGTGTGTTTATGTGCGTTCTTTGGAAAGCTATCTTATCAGTTGGACTTTCAAACCAGAAACGCAACCCACTTTGATAATAGCACTTCAACACTACACACCACCCACTCCGTAAAACATCTTACATGCCGTTGACAGAGAATTTTTTTTTTAATTGGTTGGGTCTTTGACAAAGTTTCTCTTTATCAGACTGAGCTGGTTCTGAGATCGAACGAAACAGATCCCAGAAATACAGAGACTGGTGCTTTGTTCTGGGAATATAGCCATGGAGTGTGATGCAATCAAACAGAAATTACCATATCTTTCCCGATGTCCTCCCACAAAGACGTACGGCAGCACAGCCAATACCCTTTTTTTTGTTTTGGAGCGAGATGGTCTGCGGCGTACCTACTGCAGTGATAATGTGTCCCCGGAAGTGGGCCTGCCATAACAAAAAGCCCTGCCGTTGCATAGCTACCGGGGACATCAGTGCTCAGCAGATGCTCCGGTGCAGCCTGTCGATTCATATGCAGGAGGGAACGTTCAGCAGGGATTTCAGTAAACAACCATCTTGTGAGGACGTACCCACGTACACCTGGTGGCATCAAGTTCAACTTTATTTTCTAATTCTAAGATCATTTATTGTTTGACATCCCGGCTGAGGGGATGGGCTCCTCTGCTGTCAGCGTGATCATGCAGGGGCCATCTGTAGTTAATGACTCACAGGTTTCTCATTTTGTTTGTACCCACAACAGCCCTCAGGGTTGTCTAATGTTTAAGCTCCTGCTTAGCGGGCAAACCGAGCTTTGCTGCGCTCTTTCCCTGAAACTATGAGAAAGGGACTAAAGGGATAAAGGCGTTTCACGTGAGGCGGAGCGAGGTGAAGTCCTGGTGAATCCCCGGGCAAAGAATAACTGGCTTTTCTCCTCGTTCTGCTGCTTCATGACAGAGGCTTTTGTCTTCCGCCTCAAAGTCGCATAGCTCGCTGGATTTGAGTCAAGCCTTTGAATCGTGTCACAAACGTAGTCGTTTCTCTATCGGGCTGCTGCAACACGGGCCCCAATCTGGGGCCATAAAAATCCTTCACTGGGTGATTGATTTACTTGACACAGTCCTGTTAATCAAGCTAAGTGCAAGGCAGTAACAGATAGGGGAAGTGGAGAGTGGGTTGCCTCACTGCCTCTGGATGTAATGTTTAACTGGGCTGCAGGCTGGTATGTGCTGTTACACAAAGATGCTGACGTTATGGTCGGAACTCAGAGTTCACATTTGCTTTCTTCCGAGCACACGGGTGTGTACCCGTGTGTTGTTGCCTGCTAAGATAAAGGCGCATGTGTGTTTCTCCTTTGATTACAACACCTCAGTGTTTGAAGAAATGACAGATGATGCCGACTATAAATGCTAATCACGTTTATAGGTATTTGTTTTGCCAGAGACAGCAGCCAACTGTATCAGTAATACTGACAGCATCTTCACTAAAAAATGCCATAAATTCTAATCCCCAGGCATTTATCGTACATTAAAACATTGACCACGGTCCAGTGGGTGGGTGGAAGGAAGGAGGGAGACAGTGAAACACTCAATCTAGCCAGCTGTTTCGCTAATGAATCTATGTTTAGCACAATAAATCAAAAGGCATGCTCGTGCGGCTGTAATCCCCTGAAAGCGAGCACAGACAGGGACACGCCAAAAAGAGAATCTGGTCTACATTTCTCCACTCCCAGTTTAACTGATCCACTTGGTTAATTTTAGACCTGTCAGGGAAAACAAGGTCACAGCAAATGTTGTATCGAGGGCACGCTCGGTTCTGCCTCCTTTTCTTTTCATCAATCAAAGTTTCCCTTTGGAGCTGAGCTTCGGGCTCCTGTGAGACTAGTAATGACGGTTTCTCTTCTCGGCACCGAGGGAGAAGCTGGAGCTCCAACCAGCAATTAGGAGGAGCGAGGCTGAATCCGCAGGATGTGTAAAATTTCCCTTCAGATTCTTGGCTTGGTCCACAGAGGGGGTTTACTTCTGACTGGCCTGTTTACCACGAAGGCCTGCAAAGTTAAGATGATTACAGTGCTGCGTGCCAAATGTGTTTTTACTCAGACTGCTATGAAACCCAGTTACTGCAAAAGGCACATGAAACCTGCTGTTGTTTAACTATTTTTCCATGTAAAGAACTGGATACAAACAAAAACACTGCCTTAAGAAGTCTCTGAAAAACACTTTTTTTTCAAGATCACCATATATGGAGCAGTGTTTTTTCCTCCCACTTTGTGCTTTATGTTTGTCACTGGGTGCCTTCATAGAGAACAACATAGCATTTTGAGATCCTAATATTTCATTTTTATTTCCATATGATCTAAGCTCTGTTTCTGCCTTATCTTCCCATCCCTCCTTTTCTCTTTGACTGGTGGTTACGCTCAACCTCGCTATATTTCTGTATGCCTTCTTTCTGCAGCAAATCAAGTCTGTGAAATGGAAATGAGGGCTCTCGCTCTGAGTCTCCCCCTCTTTCCAGACATCAGAACGAGGCTGTGCCTCCAATGTTTTTCTCAGATCTTGGAGTGCTGCCAAATCTTATAAGTGGAGCAGAGAGCGAGGTGGAGGGAGAGAGTGAGCAGAATGCAGAGGAGCGAGAGGAGGCGTAGGACAAAAAGATGAAAGGAGAGAGGATGAAAAATGAACAAGGGGAAGAGGCAACGTACTAGATGAGGACAAAGCGTGGGTCTGATCCAAGAGCATTTTGGGCCTTTTCTCATTTAACAGCCGAGCCCAGCACAATCTCGGCCGTTTCTGCTGAGCAACTACTCCAAGCCTCTGGCTCCGAATCAGCTGATAAGATGGCATGCTGCGACTATGCCAAATGAAAAATTGGAGGCGAGTGAGGAGAGTGCTTTCGCCTGCTATTGAGAATTTTCAGCACACAACAGCAGGGCAGTAAAATATAGCTCACAAAGTGCTCTGAAGCAGCTTAATGTGTGAATTTTCCCATCGCCGATTTATCTCTAGCTGAACTGCTCCTGCCAGACATTTATTTTGGTCCCCTGGGAGGTGCATGCCAGTCACAGTAGTAAGATTCTTTCTGCCACGTCTGACATGTCAGGCTAAAGTTAGATGTAGGTGTCAGCGTGTGCCCTGTTAAAAGTCAACATGCTGGCCCAGCTTTGATCGAGAAGGATCCACATCCAGCTGACCTGCTGTAAACTACTTCAACAAGCTTTGTGCATTCTGAAAGACAGGCAGCCAGATCTTTTCAAAAGCACTAATGAAGTCATTGTGATTGACTGTGTGACAGTGTGTTGCTCAGAAGTGTGAGTCCCCCTGCGTACAGCTGGTGAGTGAGCCACTGGCTGCACTCTGAGTTGTTTTTTTTAATGACTTGAATGTCTGTGTAGGGTGTGTGTGACAACACGGGGCTCGGCAGGTGACTGTCTGT